TTCAGTTAGTTGTTGTAGGTTCTCAGTTAGTTGTTGTAGGCTCCTCAGTAGTTGTTGTAGGCTCTTCAGTAGTTGTTGTAGACTTTTTAGTAGTTGTTGTAGGCTCTTCAGTAGTTGTTGTAGGCTCTTCAGTAGTTGTTGTAGGCTCTTCAGTAGTTGTTGTAGGCTCTTCAGTAGTTGTTGGTGGCGGTAATGATGCTGTAGTTGGCGCTGTTGTAATTGTCGCCGTAGTATTAGTGATATTAAGAGCTGGAGTTTTTACAACATTTGGTATACCCTGACTATGATTAAGTCCACAAGTCCAGGGATATCGATGACATGCAAAGGAAGGTTGATGTGTTGACATATCAAAATCCAGTTGTATTTGATCTTGAAAACCTGAAATATGTAGTCGTTATTAGAGAAGTGATAATTAAAATTTAAATTGAAATTATCCATAATTACATTTCTTAGCTTTAGAAAATGAATTTATAATCGTCAAACTAATCAAGAGATTATTTAAGTAAATGATTACCGATGATTTATAATATCAATGATTGCAAATGTCGAAATGAAATAGTAATTTTAATTGATGATCAACAAGATATCATTATATAAATGATAAATATTGTAATGAAAAGTAAACATAAAATTAAAAATATTATCATACCTTGCATTGGTCCACAGGTATATGTCATTTGAAGAATGGACCAAATGATTGCAATACGAAAAAACATTATTAACAGAAATTTTGATTCACTAATAATAGTTTACAAACTGTAACATAGCGATTTAAATGATAAAAATTGTAATTATCAATGTTTTCAATTAAATAACAATAATTTCGTCATTACGTTTAACAAATAAATGATAAGTTATAAAAAATGTTAAAACATGCGACAAATATGCGGTTGACATTATATGAAAACGCTATTAAAATATGATAAAATAAAATTTTTAGAAATATTGGTACAAGTTAAATTAGTACAAATATATATATATATATATATAATATATGATGTTAATATAACATTATATTTTCTTACTTTAAAATAAAATACTTTAGTTCTTCATCTAACTCATTGACTCATATCATATCAACTCATATCATTGATTACAAATGTAATTTATATAATGCATAAGATAAGAATGGATGAATATTACATATGATTTGATAGAATAAAATAGTCTTTTTATATATTTTTTTTTAATCATAATTTTAATGTTTTCATTGATAAAACTTTTTTTTTTGCTGTAATAACTATTATAATAAAGAGCAAAGTATGAAATTTCTCATTGATTATTTGTACTAATTGCATTTATTCATTCTCAAAGAATTAATTTTTTTTTTTTTTGTTTGAACAATATTTTTATTTGAATATTTAAAATTACGATACTATCATATTTCATTATTCTTCAAAAGGTATCATAAAAATGTTCGAAGATCAATGTTAAATTATTTATGTCATCGTAATATTTGTCACATTCTACACCGCTTTCATTCTTTTCTATTTAAATAATCTTATCGTTTTTTTGAATAAATTTAGCATTCACAAAATAGGATGTCAGATAAATTATATATAATGAGAATATGATTTTACGATTATAAGTTAATCGTACTATTTGATTATTTATCATTTAAAAAAAGGAAAAAAAAGTTATTAATAAACTTACTGATAAATTATATTGCAACATTAACTAATTAAATATGTATCCGTTACCAATTGATACCTTTAAATAGTTCAATTATTATATAAAGTATTAATTTTGGATTGCCAATATCTTACTTTTGAATAAAAAGAAAAAAACTATAAAAGATAAATGGCTAAATTAAATTTTTACTATTTGGCAAATAAAAATAACTGAAATAATTTGAAATTAGTAATCATAATTTCTCGCCATGTTAAATTTGCAATTAATGAACCATTAATTAGCGGCTAAATAACAAAAAATAGGATGGAAAAATTCGAGATTAATTGAAAGATAAAGATAATTTTTTATATAATTGAAAAGATGAAATTTTAAAAATTCTCTTTTGGGGGACAAAAAAAATTGAATGATATAATTAGTTGAGGTTTAAATTGAAGACAAAGAAGCACATAACAGGTAGGTAGGAAAATAATTAATTAGTAAAGAAATAATTGATCAAATTTGAAAATTTCCATTCAGAATCATAATATATATATAGCTGAAAATATTACAATTAATGCCTTTCATTTAAAATAAATAATTTAACAATTATTTCATAGAGTTTTTGTACTATTTTTTTAAGAATTAAATTTTTCCTTTGAAATACAAAAGATAAATTTAAATGCAATAGGAATAATTTTGGTGAAATTCATAAGGAATTTATTCATTTCAAACATGATTTTTGATTAAATTACGGAGAATTTAAAAAGTACTGTAATTAACAAATTCAGAAATCATCAATGAATTGGAAGAAAACTGAAATTAACTCTTTCAAAAAACTTGCATCATTCTTAGTAATGATTGTGCCATGTGTGTGTGTGTGTGTTTTTTTTTTTTCTAGCTAACGAAAATTCAAATGCCATTTCGTACAATGATTAAAAAAAAAAAAAAAAAATTGTATCAAATCATTTTACAAAAGAATCCCTTAAAAATTTTAACTAATTAATTAAAATCGAAGCCAAAACCTTACAAATTTCAATTAATTAATTAGAATTAAAGCTAAAACTACTTCTCAAACTGCTTCCAATGTTGTAAATGGTAAATATTCATCGATCATATTGTAATATCCGAAAAAATTATAGCTTTATTTATATGAAATAAAAATATTTAAATAATAAATTCCTAGAAATTTTTATTACTAAAAGCATTTCATCCATTAATAAATAATAATTCATTAATTTTGGACAATAAAAATATCAATTAATAATGAAATTTTTTTTCGAGCTTTCATAAAATGAGCAAAAAATAGTAAAAAAAAACAAAAAAGAAAATTGAGCAAAAAATTAAGTTCAACATGTTGTCATATCTTTTCCCTGTTTTTTTTTCTTTTTTTTTTTTAAATTAGACAAAAATTTAGAATTGTAAATTAATTCGAACATTTAATTCAATTCAAGAATACTTAAAATATTTGCTTATCGATAATGTAAAAACTTTTATTGTTGAAATTTTTGTAGAAAATATTAATTCTTAGTATTCATGAAAATTTTTATGACTTTCCGATAAATGGAAAACTAAAAGATGGCAATACATATATATTGTAAATTAAAAAAAAATATATATATATATGTGCAGGTGTAATGATAACAAATAGTGGAAAAATTCAAACCTAACATATAGAAAAAATGTTTGCAAACTTTTTCCCATTTTTTTTTTCAACATTTGAAAATAATTCTAACTAAATTCATTTCATTTTAAACCATCCTTTTGTTTGTATACATTTCAATTTAAATTATTAAATAATAAATTTAGCATAATTATTCCATTGTATACATTGAATGGAAAGCAATTAATTGTAATAATTTTCAATAGAAAAAAAAAAAATAGAAATAACGATGTACAAAATTGAACAAAAAATAAATTAAAATAGTGATTTTTATAATTTTGGCATTGTTTAATTGTTTTTTTTCTGTCATCAATTAATTAATTCATTTATTAATTACCATTTTCTTAGCTTATTTTATTTTTCAACGCTTCATTCGCTACAAAAATATTCACTGCTTGAAGGAATGATCCATTCTCTTCATATCATTCTATTTTCTTCATTAATTATATCTACATATGGATGTGGACCAATTCCATTTGGTAAAAATATAAGCGGTAATAAAATCAATTATTTTAAATGAATGCTTTTAGTTTCAAATTAAAATTATTAATTAATATTAATTTTAATCAAAGCATTACTATTACAAATTTTGTAGTAATATAAAATATAAGAAATGAGGTGAAAAATTTTTTGCTAATTTTCGATTACATTACATATTATTTAAATTATTTGTTGAATTTCCTTTTCCTTTTTTTTTCACAAACATTTGATGTAAAATTTTAAATCAGATATTTTGTAATTTAATTTAAATATATGAAACACTTCATAGAATGCATTTCTATCTTGATTAATCATTTCCAATGATTTATTTACATTTTCAGTTCCATCGACCATCACAGGATTTTTTACATCATCGCAAATACCGCTTATTGATGAGGGTGATACATTATTGAAAGCAGCTGATAATTTTTGTCGTCAATATCCTTGGATTTGTCAGTTTAATAATAACTTTCGTAAATAAAGAATAAATTGATAAAAAATTGTTATTGTTTTAATTAATTTGCTTATTGCCTCCTCTAAATAAGCCTCAAGGTAATTATCTGTTTAAATTCATAAATTTTTGTATATTTATTGGAATATAATCAATTACTTGATAAATTATTGATCGAGATATCATGTTAATTAAATTGCTAAATTAAAATGATTGAAAGATTTTGATATTATCTGTAATTATTCATTGCTTTATTTATCAAATAAAGTTAACAAGTTATAATATTAATTACATCAGGAAACAATTTATTTCTATTGAATTTTGTCAAATGATAATCAGAAATATCCAAATTTAAATTTGTCATCTTCAATAATCACAGTTTATATGATAATCATTATTCCATTTAATGAATTATAGTTTATTTGTTTGCCAATACATCGAATAGCTACGATGTGATGGATAATTGATAAACTACAAAACTGATATGTTATTGGTTGAAATTAAAATTTTCATCAAAATTTTCGAATGAAATAACCAGTAAGAATGCAAACTGTTTTATGGATGCTTAAAAGTTTTAAATGATTTCATCGAAAAAATGATTTCAATGATTTCATCGGAAATTAAAATGTTAATTCAAATTCGTGTTAAAAAATCAAAACATGAATCAATCTATCGTTGCCGAAAAGATATTGTCTATAACCGTTTCATTTACACATTGACAATATAAACTTTGCAAATGCTGTCATCGTAGCAGGTCAAAGCAACAATCAATTATCATAGAACTTATCATGCTTGTGAACCTGTCATTTTGTGGAGAGCTTAACATATCCTTAAATTTCTTTACCTTAAACAGTATTCAAGAATAATTGATAATTAAAGGAATTACTTCATTAAATGTCAATGAGCTAATGAAATGGATGATCAGCAAGTGTAGATGAGTCTTGCTACAACGATGTTACACCAATCGTTGATAAGCATTCCATTCAACGATAGAAATTCAAGAATCAGAATTTGTCTGAACATTCGATCCAATGTCAATGTCACATTTGATCGAATGAATGAAACAGAAAGATCGTAGCTTTTCATAGATGAAACTTGCACAGATATTCATTAAACGAAGAAAGGCATAAATCCGAACTAAGGCTTACGGTAATTGAATCATTTCAATTTCTGCCAATCATTTACCGAACTTTTTGTAATTTGATATCAAAGAAACCGAAAGGAATCACAAAGATTTTTATCGATCAAAGAATTTAATACATTTAACCATTTCTTGTATACATTAAGATTATTTAATGTGGAAAAGTTTGAATCAATAATTTACGATAGCTTTATTAACAAATCAATCAATAACAGTTAAGAGAACCACACGAAGGGACGATATCGTTGTCTTATTTAATTGCTGAAAACATTTCGAGTTTTCACAAAATGTATTCGCCCAAAATTTGGAATTAAAATATTTTCAATCAATTAGTTGAGACGAACTGATAATTTCAATCATTATCTAT